CGGCCGTAGTGAACGCCCATTCGAACGCGGATTCCGTTCCAGCACGCGGGTCTTCCCTCGGCCATGAGGCTCAGCAACCAGTTTGGCCACGACACGTCCATAAGCGCGCGTTGGACACCGCAAGTAAAGCTGATCATGGCCTCGACATCTTCATAGGCGACAAAGAAAGCGTCGCCCTCAGTCTTGAACTCGTAGCCGCCGGTGGCGGCAATGGCGGCGCGCATGATCTCGTTGTGCTTGTCGAGAACAAGGATCATCTGTTCTGGATTGGCCTCCCACAGGGCGGTCGAGTCCTGGATGTCGGTGGTGACAATAAAGATCTCGCCCTGGGGCGCCTTGTCCGCCAGTGCGGCGTGGTACGCCGAGACAGACGCTGACCGCCGCGACCGGTAGAGGAGAACAATTGCGGCGATGAGGACAAGGCACAGGACCAAAAGCGCCCCGCTCATGGCAGCCACCGTCACAATTGACACACCGCCCTCGGTGGTCTTGGTGTTCGGTGGACACTCCACATCTGCCGCCGAGCACATGCCACACGACTTGAGCGTCTTTCCCGAGTTGGGGATGCCATCGCAGCCGGCACACACGGTGTTGTTGCCGTAGCAAGTGCCACAGTCGTCCTTGGCGAGATTGGAGCCAAAGCAAGCGCCGCAGTCGTCCATGGCCGCGTTGTGACCACGGCACACGCCGCAGTCGTCGCGATCGGCGTCGCCGCCAAAGCAGACGCCACAAGAGTCGCGATCGACGTTACCGCGGAAGCAGATGCCGCAGTCGTCGCGGAAAAAGTTGGCCGTGGGAATGAGCGACGTCCCGCCGGTGCACGAGTTGCACTCGTCGATGGCGGCGGTGCCGCTGCAAGTTCCGGTGCAGTCGTAGGTGGCGGACGAGCCGAGGACGCCGTCGCAGCCCATGATGCACGACGAGCCGTCGCCGCCACAGACACCGCAGAGATCAAAGAGCGCGCCGCCGTCAGAGACACGGATCCCGTCGCAGCCGACGCACGTCGAGTTGTCGCCATCGCACACGCCGCAGGCATCGAGGACTCCGGACGCACAGGTGGTGCAGGTCAGATCCTGGCCAAAGCACACGCCACACGAGTCGAGGTGGTAGTTGTACGGGAGCGGAGTCGAGACGTTGCCGCCGGCACACATGCCGCAACTGTCGATGGTGGCGTTGCCGCCGCACACGCCGTGGCAGTCGTAGTGGATGCTCGAGCCGTAGACGCCGTCGCAGCCGACGTAGCATACAGTGGCGTTGCCGCCACAAACGCCACACGCGTCGAAATGTGCGCCGCCTGAGGGAATCGGCACCCCGTCGCAGCCCGAGGGCAGGACGAGCCGTCGCCCATCGCACACGCCGCATACGTCGCGGACGAGGCCCGAGTTGGGCACCCCGTCGCAGCCGGCGCAGGTCGTGTTCGAGCCAAAGCAGACACCGCATTTCGTCCTTGTGGGGCGTTGGCGCCAAAGCAGACACCGCAGTCGTCGCGATCGGCGTTGCCGCCAAAGCACACGCCGCAGTCGTCGCGATCAGCGTTGGGCTGGCGGTTGGTGGTGCCACCGGAGCAGACGTTGCATGCGTCGAGGATGGCGTTGCCATCGCAGGTGCCGGCGCAGTCCATGCCGTTAGGGTGCGCGCAGGTGGTGCAGGGCGCGCCTGGGGTGAGGCAGGCGTAGCCGGGCTCGAGCTGGCAGGATGATGAGCAGCCATCGCCTGGAGCTGTGTTGCCATCGTCGCAGGATTCGAGGCCGGGCGTGACGACCGAGTCGCCGCAGGAGGAGAGCGGTGGGGGCGGGGGGGAGGGTGGCCGAGGTGGTGAGGGGGGAGGGGTGGTGACAGGGGAGGGGTGGCGGTGAGGGCGGTGGCGGCGAGGGGGAGGGGTGGTGAGGGAGGTGGAGGTGGTGAGGGGGGAGGTGGGGGCGGTGAAGGAGGAGGTGGCGGCGATGGGGGAGGGGGTGGTGAGGGAGGTGGGGGTGGTGAGGGTGGCGGCGGTGGCGATGGCGGTGGGGGCGGCGATGGAGGTGGGGGTGAGGGTGGTGGTGGCGGCGAGGGAGGAGGAGGCGGTGCTGTGCAGGTTGTTGGAGCCGAGCCAGTGCATGACCATCCGGCCTCTACAACGCACGCGGACGAGCATCCATCATTAGCCAACGTGTTGCCGTCGTCGCACGCCTCGGCGCTCTCGAGATAGCCATCGCCACAGGTGAAAGGGGCGGGTACGGTGGTGTGGGTGAGGGCCGGAGCTGATCGCGGGCGCGAACACTGGCCGGCAACGGAGCCGCCACAGCCGACGCCAGCCTGGTTGGAGTTGTCAGAGCCCTGAAGACGAAAGAGGCCGACAAGGCCGGTTTCGCAGCCGGTGAGCGCAGTGTTGACATCCGCGGCGATTTCGGCTGCCGAACGGGAGTAGTTCCAGATGCGGACGTCCCAGACGCGATCGGTTTGATCCCACTTGACACGGAAATGTCCCATGTGGAGGCCAGGATCGTCCTGCGACATGCGAAAGTCGGCGTTGCTCTCCTGGATGATGCGCGAGTCCTTGAGGACGCCGTCGAGGTAGATGGACCATTCGTCGGTCGTCGAGTCGAATGCACCGGAGAGATGGACGTCTGTGGCGATGTCAATGGAGCCTGTGGGCGCCTCTGACTCGTACCACGCGTAGCCGGTGGTTGCCTGGAATGCGATTGTCCGGTATGCCTCCCAGGAGTTGCCTGGCTGGTCGAAGATGTCATCACCAGCAACGCGCATGGCAAACTCGGTCGAGGCCGAGCGGTAGTAGAGAACGTCGACACGCGAGGTGAGGGCAGTGTTGTCGAGATTGACCTTGGCCTCGAGCGTCATGTCGCCTGTGAGATCGAGTGAGGGCCAAGCGCCGGCTGGCGGCGGAGTGTAGCTGCACTCAGGCCCAAAGTGAGTAGCCGGTGGAGCTGGTGACGAGCCCGTGGACGTCTTCCGTGCCCAGTCCACCGAATACCCAGTGTCGCGCGTGTAGGTGTCTGAATCAAAGACCACGACGATTTGCGGCGAGTCGAAGAACATGGTGGTGCCTGGCGTAAGCGATCCACTGAGCTTGACGACCAGCTTTGAGACATCTGGCGTTGTGGTACCTTCATAGATGTACATGTAGTCGTAGTCGACTTCGGTGTTAAAAGCATTGAAAACAAGCTCAATGCCGCCGTGGGTGAAATCAAAGGTGTACGTGCAGAGCTCGAGGTTATTGTACAACGAGCCGGGCGTTGCGAAATTTCCAGCAGTGAGTGAACCTGCTGACGTATGGGTCTGGTCTGAGCAAGCCGAGACTGTAGCGGTGAAAAGAGCGAGAGCGAGAGCAAGAGTGGCGAGTGAGGACAACATGAGTCAAAGAAAGAGGTAGGTAGGTGTGTGGGAGTGCGATACGAGATGTGTGATGATTTTGGGGCTGTTGGGCAGGAGGTGTGTAGGCGGCCGTATGAACCTGGTTGGGCTGGTTGTGCAACGATTGCTCCACCACCAAATATTGTTGCGGGTGTTTGGTTGCCAGAAAACGTGTGACAGGTAAGCGGGGCGAGTCAGAAGTCCGAGGCCGTGACAGATGTCTGGAGCACGACGTTGTTGACTTTGGCCTCGTGGTGTGTCCTGGGACTGGGATTGGTGTTGGGTTTGCGGCGGGATGCGCGATTGAGACGAGTGCGGGCGGAGCGGGGCGAGGCGACGCGTCGCCAAGATGGGTGACAAAGTCAGCTGCGGTAATAGGCGGATAGTCGAGCGAGCCTTCCGAGTTGTGTGCGTCAATGACAAGGGCGATGCCAGGGGGATGGGCAGTGAGCTTGGGAGCTCGACTGGGTTTGCGGCGGCGGCGACGGCGGTGGCGGCGTGATGCGGCACGCGACGACGGCGAGAGCGGCGCGTCCAAGTTGTCGCGCGGAAAGAGATCTGGCGACGAGGATGCGAGGTTGCCAACAAGGGGCGGAGGCCGAGAAGGAGCAGCAAGACCGGCGTCAGACACGGCGGTGACAAGGGTAAAGTTGCCGTCGCGCGAGGAGTCACGCGCACGCATGCGGACGGTCGGCGAGGGCGAGCGACGCGACGGCGAGAGCGTCGAGTCGGACACAACGGGGGAAAGCCGCGACGGCGAGAGCGAGGCCTCGCGTGTCAGTTGAGACACGTTAGGAATAGAGTAGGCTTCCGAGATCGACTGCGAGCGTGCCTGCGCGGCCTGCATCACTGAGTGCGCGGTAGGCGCATGCCGTCGCTGACCTCGAGTAGAGCAGGCGCGCTGCTCGGCCTGTGGCTCAGCTTCAGACGGCTGCTCCGACTCGGTGAGAATCTCGGCTTCAGCGTTGCGACTCGTCATCGGCAGACCAAGCACCAGCGGCGATGGAGGTGCGACGTCAAGCAGCGTTGCTGACGCGGCGATCTTGTTGATGCGGTCCAAGCCCATGTCATACGCGCGGTTCGCAAGCGTCGTTGGCATGATCTCCCACACCTCGCACGATGCCGACATGCCATCAAAGGCGACGTTGGCGAGCGGGGTGACGGTGACTTCGGCCGGCGCAAATGCAGCGTTGTCGTGCGCGTCGTCGAGATCGAGACGCGATCGGGCGGCAGCGAGCTGGTCGATGACCTCGCGCGAGGTCACAATCTGGCCGCCGGTCCCAGTGTCGGAGACCAGCGTCGCGAGATTGACCATGCTGCCAAAGTACTGGGTCCGCCCGGCGCGGACGTCAAATGCCGACGAGACTTGGCCATAGTGGATGCCCATGCGAACCCGGACACCGTTCCACACCGCCGGATCCCCGCTGGGAAGAACGCTGACAAGCCAGTTGGGCCAGGCAACGGCCATCAGGGTCGAGCTGGGCGCGGACGCAGCAGGCGACTGCGGCCTCGACGTCTGCGTGGGCGACAAAGAAGGCGTCACCCTCGGTCTTGAACTCGTAGCCGCCGGTGGCGGTGATGGCGGTGCGCATGATCTCGTTGTGCTTGTCGAGGACGACATCATCTGGGTCCGGGTGATCT